GAAATCTGCAACTATGAGCAATCTTAATGTCCAAAAGTCTTAATGAAAGCAAGACAATGGTTATTTTTGGCAGGAGACATCACATGAAATGTGATACGCTCTCTAGGAAACTACCATTTCCTAAACTTGAAAGCATAAAAAGAAAATGTAGACTTTAAAGGATCTGAGATTCGCTGCGGCCAACTGAGCCAAGACCTCTGCTCAGTGCCCAGCTGCCGAAGTGTCTGAAGAGGGAAGGATGGGTACAGGGCTTACACGGGTCCAGGAACGTGCACCAGGTGCTCACCTGGGGCTGAGGGCAGTCCTGTTCTTTGGAGGGACTGGAAAACTTTATATCGAAAATAAAATAGATATATAACATTTTGTGCATATTTTAAATCCAGTGGAGAAAGAGATGCCTTGTCAGAAGATGTTCAGAAGTATGTAGAGCTCCAGTGTTGCTGGCACACTATAGCCCAACGATGACTAAAGCTGAGAGGAGACAAAGCTCATTTTATCTCAGGCCCTGAAACACTAGGAAAGGTGTCAAGGTGTATTTCCTTTGGAATACTATTCTGCCTTCAAATGGAAGACAAGACTGGGACAATTTCATTGTCTTTAAAGACATAAAACTCTCTGGCTACTGTTAAAGTTTTAAAAACCTCACTTCTCAGGATTTAATAAAAAGAGCTCCTGGAAAACAGTTTTTACCCTGTATAAAGCATCCTTTAAAAACCCCAAGTGCCCTAGAGTGGGTATCTCCAGATTTCCAACAACAATACACGGGCACATTCTTCCAATCACACTGTCAGAGCCAGCATCTTGGAAGGGCACAGAAATGCCTGCTGGAAGCACACGCAGCATTAAATCTAAGAGGCTATGAAATAATGTTTTGACTGAGAAATAGATTTTTACGTGCTTTCATGTCATACCCTGCTACAAATACCGCCTATGATAAGGAGGCCATAAAAAACTATGTGGGATCGCTTTGTTATATGTTCACAGCATGTGAGTGAGCATAACTATGAATGTGCTTGGAGGACAAAAATGTTATTTTAAGATTAAAACTGATTAGCTCCCCTGACTGTATCAGAGCAGAATAATAATAATTTTCATGGAGCCCATCAAATGGAAAAAAACATTAACCTAAAAAATCTAAAGAAAAAGAAATCAAAACTGCATTTTAAAATTTTTCATAAGGGAAATAATAAATCGCTATTTGAACTAGAACTTGACACACTGAAAATCCCATATCGTCTACTTTGATGGCGCATTCTATGATATATAGTTTGCAATTCACATCATATCACGCATACAATTTGTAATACTCCAGATTAACAAAAGCAGCAGCTCTGAAATAAGAGATGTATAGAACATACTATTTGCTAATGTTTGGGAAACATAAAGATATTTGAAGAGAGGAACATTATTCTGAAAGAACATAGCTCATAATCCAAGGGATGAGGATTAGTTATAAAAAAAATTTGGGAGTGTTCATGATATAGGCATTTCAGTGGTATTAATGCAGGGAAAGTGGAAGAAATAAAACATGCTGTTTGTTCTGTTGCTACAATGACCATGGAACCGGTCTTCTAGAACGAAGAGTTAGTTTTGTTGTCATTAAAAAAGCCTGCGATTTCAGTTTTTAATTTTAGATCTGGTTTCCCAAGTCTAAAGAGCCAAAATTATGCTGATGTGAATGTCAGTTCCAGATCTTTGCTAAACACCTGGAAGCATTCTGGGAATAAATCTAAACTGGAGAACACTGTGTGGTTGCTGGGAATTCAGTCGATCCATCCCAGATGCCGTGTCAGACAGGTCTCCTGAAGTCCTTGGGGTAAGGACAACTAATTCTTGGTATTCTGTCAACACAAAGATGGGACACAGAATGAAAGAGCAAGAAGAGATGGATCCTTACCTAACAACGAACCTGAAAAACACCTTGCCAAAATCTAAACCACCCCGACGGTCATGATACAAAGAAAAGGGAATGCCCACAAAGCCTACAGGCTGGTAAAACAAAAGCCTTTACTTTCCTTATGTGTATAGATGTCTGCAGAGTAATACGTAAGCCAAAAGGCTATCTGGCTGCAAACAGTTTGTTCAATTTTAAACTGCCAGGCACAAACAATTCAAACAGAGCTGTGAAAAACTCTTCTTTATGAAAATACAGAATGGTATTAAAGCTGTAAACAAAATTTTTTAATATTAAAAATGCGCTCATAATATAACTCCCTGAAATAGCTCATCCTGTATCAGCTTGTTATTCTGTAAGTCTGTATTAGCCTATAATATAATTGTCAGCCTATCTGTTAGTTCACATCTTTGTCTTCCAAAAAGCAAACCAAAAAATGTCCACAGCCAGAACGTAGTGAAGCATGTAGAAAAGAGAACAAATAATGAGAAAGCATAAAAGAACAGCCTAGGCCATTGTGTGATGACACAAATGACATCTTCCCACGGATGCCAGAAGCAATCCGCTGCCATTTGACCAAGCAGAGGTATTCCTTCTGGGACTACTCAGAACACGATTTTCACCTCATTGTTTCCACTCCAGTTCCCATTCCATATAAACAAATGCGAAAATATTTGCAATAGTATATGCTGTGAGATCGCACAGTTTTATTTATAGATCATAGATCATGTTGCTTTTTTAACTGTACCACTGATATCTCTGTTACTGTTTTATTAATTTGATATTTAAACATTATGAAATGATCTTGGCAATAGTTAAACAGCCCAAGCCTATAGGTATTCCTTTTTATAAATATATATATGTATATATGCATGTGTAAATGTGTATTTATATATCCATATATACATAAGCATACTCTTAAAAAAACAACAGAGGTTCAGCCAAATTAGGGTAAGTTATTAATTTCAAATAGAACATTTACTTGGACAGCTGAATTTTATAGTTTACTGGATGCATGTGGTATCAGATGTTCCAAAATAAATCAAATTTACACCTACCAAATATATTTTAAAATGTCTTATTAGATTTTTTATCCCTCAAAGATATACTGCTTCTTTTTTCTGTAGAATGAAAGCAGACTTATCCACGTGAGCACTCTGTATGATCTTAAAATGTACATAGTCTGCCTGCCTTTTTTTGTTCATACATTTAAAATTTCTGGTTTATATTGAAATCATGCACCATGTTATGAAACTGCCTCAAGCTATCTTAAGGTACTGAATTCACATGTGAAAGCACAGTGAGAGCCTGACGCAAATGCACTGTATTTCTACCAAAATCATTATGCTCATTCTACTGTCATGTCCACATCTCAGTGCTCTCAAATACAACATTTTAAAATAAAATAGCACAACTTTATTCCCAAAAGCAGTTGAGGTCCCATCCTCTCTCCTTGCATGGCCTTTCCAGCTCACCTGCACCTTTCTGCCCGTCTCACCCAGTTCAGCTGGGGCACCTCCCGTCTCCTCCTTCCGTAGGTTCCCAGTGTCCTTCCTTCTGCTCAGCTACTCTCACGTTTGCGCAGCTGGATCATGGCCTTTTGTTGTCTGACCCACTCACTTTCCCCCATCTCTCTCTCCCCCTTCACCAGTTCAGCCAACCATCCCTTCCTGCAGCTGCCATCCTTCCTCTCCCTGTCAGCTTCTGGTTTCACCATGGCAAGTGCCCACCACAGGCATTGACCAGGACATCTGTGAACATCATGGAGAAACGATGAGATCAATTCAACTGCTTAGAGATGAGGAAAGTTCAAACATGTTCAGTTAGGAAGGAATCTCCAGATATTTTTAGCTGTTAAATCGCTATGTGAGATGTGCAAACTGCAAAGCCTTTATGAGGGCTTAGAAATTTGGTTTCACGGCTTTTCATTTGAAAGGTAGTGTACCTGTACATGAAACAAAGATCTGAGCTTCTGCACCAAGGTGCTGTGACACCAGAGCATATCAAAGAAAAGCCCTTGAAAACTGAAAAATTGAAAATGTGAGCAAAGCAATACATTTCCCCAGTCCTTTCCTTGTAAACACCTCATGGCTTCAGTCACCATTTTCAAAAGGAATTCCATTTAAAAAAAGCAAGCTTGTAAGGATTAGAGAACACACTTTGTGTGGACAATTCCAGACCAAATAATTAAAGTAAAGCGTTATTAGTGCTAGCTAATAAAAAAGGGATTATATAAGGGGATATTTGGGAGAACCTTACAACAGGCGTTGCAGACAGCCATGGCAAAATTAAGGGGATATGACAAAAAGAACTTGTAATGAATAAATACATTTTGCTGTATTTACAGCCTTCAAGGCATACAGTCTCAGAAAAAAATGCAAGTTCAGCAGCATCAGTGTAAGCCTCCCAGCTGTGGCTCACCCACACCACCGAGCCCCCTCCCCGCATTGCCCCCGGGCATTCCTTCTGGCTGGAACTGCTGTGTCTGACTGCTAACACTTCCCTCGGATACATCGTTGAACCCCTGAACCAACACGGGACGTGAAAGGCTTTCCATTAGCAATAGTCAGTTTTCTCTATGAATGTATGTTCTGCGGCAAGAATTCCCAAACTTAATTTGTTCAAGTGCCACCCTTGGCAGAGATGACCATGGTGACAGAAGCTTCAGGATACGTATGCACATACAGACACAGGAGAAGGCATTTCCGTAACTGCTTTGAAGCACTAGTGGCATTATACCATAGCTTGGGTTGCAGGGACAGGTGGAAAATCAGCAGTTGTTGCCAATGATTCTTTGACAGTGGCCAACAGCAGAACGCTTTGAGAGGCTACAAAAATAATCCATCTAGGACTGGCAGCACTGTTGTCTTGGAAAATTTTCTTCTCCTTTTTCAGATGGACCTGTGTTTGCTGAAATTGCAAGCAAATCTTGAGATTTTCCATCACAGAAAAGAAGGAACTGTGTATAACTCACCACACGGCACTATCTTTGTATCCTCAGATTCAAAGCTAGTTAACAAAAACGTACTCAAAAGCTACGTTCAGTTGTGATTTGTTCTGACATAAGTTTTACAATGCAGTATAGAGAAGAAATTCAGTTCCCTACCTTTCTTGTAAGTGGCACTTCAATGGGGACGGGGACAACTTCTGCAAGCAGGCAGCCATAAAATGCTACCATGAAAGCAGCAGGATCATTGTTCGGAAATACGAGTGTTACCTGAAACAAAGAGACGTAGGTTAAAAATGTTTTATCCCAGGTTTCAGATAACAGTAACTGGAGTTTGCACGCGTCCTTTTGGAGAGGGACGATTACCAAAACATTTCTATGATAGCTATTCAAATACCTAATGGAAGATAAATGAGAAATCAGAAGGAATTTATTTTGATAGATATTTTTGTGAACATTTTCACTTACTGTGTAGTTAAATATTTTCATACTGCATTGTTTCCTACATTGACAATACTTTCATCCGGTTCTCAATTTACTGATTGCTTTAGAGATGTTAAATAACCACGTAAATGGAATTAAAAGAAATTTACATTGTAATTTAATAATTTGCTTGAAGTTACTGAAAACAAAGTGGATCCGTGAACGATTCAGATTACCCAGACTTACTCTGCCATTGTGTCAATCATTAACACATTATGCTTTGTCTCCCTATGTTTTGTCTCATACAAAAATTTCATTTTAGGTTGGGACTGTTGTCCAAGTGTAGAAGTTTCTGTGTACTTAGTGAACACAAATAGCTGATATCTAGAGAAGCAAACGTCACATCCAGAGCTGGCCATACAGCACGCCAACCTAAGCCTGGATTTGTAAAACTTCACAGCCTTATGGATAGAGCTAGGGAACTATTTAGATAAAAGAATGCCAAGAGAAGATAAAATATAGCAAATCACCCGTATGCTCACCGAGTGCCCTTCCTCCCCCAGTGTGCTGAACCACACAGATTCATCCTG